GAAGCTGTGGCTGCCCCATCCCTGTCAGTGTTCAAGGCCAGGTTGGACACAGGGGCTTGGAGCAAGCTGCTCCTAGTGGAAGGGGTCCCTGCCTGTGGCAGGGGTTGGAGCTGGAGGAGCTGTAAGGCCCCTTCCAACCCAAACCATCCTGAGATGCTGTGATTCTGTGATGTTGCATGTGGACCATCCCTTTGACACTAGAGCCAGCTCGGTGTGCTGGTTCACAGGATGCGGACCACAGACACCACATGGAAACCTGGAAGACTCCAAGGTGGAAAGGAAGGAAGGAAGCCCCCATTGAGCCCATGCATGCTGGTGGCCCAGCCTGTGACCAGTAGGACAGGATCAGTGCCCCGGTTTCCTTGGCTGTGCTGCGCAGGCAGGGTGACAGCACAGGGGACACGTGCAGCAGAGGCAGGAGCTGGTGACGTGCCTGGCCCCGCACCACGTCAGAGGCCATGCAGGCAAACTGGTCTGGCAGCTGCCTGCCCCTGCTGCCCCCAGCAGCACCCTCGGGGCCAGGCTCAGGCTGTGCATCCCTGGCTGGGTACTGCTCACTCCAAGGCAGGGCTGGCTTTCTGTGGCCAGAGCCCACACGGGAGGCCCCTGCGGGGTGGTAAGTGGGATGTGAGGGCAGAGTGGGGACAGGCTGTGTGTGCCTGGGGGTCAGGAGCCAACCCAGCTGAACTGGGGTTGGCTCTGCCTCAGGACTAGAAGCCTTTTAGCCCTTTGAGGTCAAAGTGCAGCCAACGCCTGCCATGGCACAGGTCCGAGCCCAGAGCGGCTGCACTGGCACAAGGTGAAGCTGCAGGGCAAAGAGCCAGGATTCTGAGCAGGACCTTGCCAGGTCCCACATCAGCTCTGCCCGCATCAGCGAGGAGAGGCCAGACCCCAGGCTCCCTCCTCCCCAGCCCCACGAGGACATCCCAGGGGGCACACGGCTGTGCCAGGCTCAGCTCCATCCCAGAGATGGAGAGCACAGTACAGCACGGAGCAGGGAGCAGGCAGCGCAAGGGGTGCGAGGCAGAGGAAAGCAAACAAGAGAAAGCAATTGAGGAAGCTCATGTCTCAGCCAAAGTCCAAAGCGGGAGGCGCTTGCAAAGGACACTGGAAGAATTCCAGTGATGTTATCTACCCCCACAGAGCAAGATTGGCCCGGAGGAGGAAAAAGGCCATTAGAAGAAGTTGTTTACAAGCCGGGCAAGGCAGCTCAGTGGTTGGAACACAGTAGCACTGGGGTCAGCTGCTGGCCTGGCTGCCACTTGGCAGGAAGCACCAAACCCCTCCATGCCCTGCTCTGGTCTCCATCACCTTTGCACCGTGTAGTGGTCCAGGCAGGTGAGTCGCTGTAGGTGCACACAGGGAGCCGTGCATCCCCGGGCACGTGTGCAGCGAGCTCGCACACAAGGCACGTGTGTCTTGGCAGCTCCCAGCGAGCTGAGCGGAGGCACAGCCTGCCCTTCCTCTGCTCCCGAGTCACACAGGTTAATGGCAAACACAGTGGAAGGTGGCCCTGCCCGTGGCAGGGGGTTGGAACTGGATGAGCTTTATGGTCCCTTCAACCCAAACCAGGCTGGGATTCATTGGTTCCATCATCTCAGAGCAATCCAGAGACTCCGGTCAGACAGAGCTATACTTGATGACAAGAAGCTTAATATTTAATGCAACTTCTACATCTTGGCTTGTTGATGGATTTATTTAAAGACAAACTGGAGAAACTCCATTGGAATTTGCTCCTGGTTCAGTGTTTACAGCACTATGGCCTCTGCAGAGCGGGTGAGCTGCAAACCCTTCCCACTGCCCCCTTCCTTCTTCACATACCCAGAATGTAGATTCAAGGAATCACAGAATGGTTAGGGTTGGAAGGAACCTTAAGATCATGCAGTTCCAACCCCCTGCCATGGGCAGGGACACCTCATGCTAGGCCATGTCACCTAAGGCTCTGTCCAAACTCGCCTTGATCATTGCCAAGGTCAAGGGATGGAGCATTTACCACTACTACGTTTACCACCATGTAGGTACCATCTTCACATGATGAGGGGCAGATGAGCTGAGGACACAAGGTTTATGGAGGAAAGGTAGATGGGAGATGGCTGCTGCCATGTTATGACTGCCTTGATGTTTTATAGCTGATCCTCCTGTTCGCTGTGTGCCCTTGACATTCTCCACCCTTGATGGAGCAAAATGCCTTAGTGATTCACATCTGGACTCCTCCAGCCCAAGATCTTCATCCATTGCTGCAAAGCCAACAGCGTGCAGGAGGAGCAGCTCACCTGATGCTGGTAAAACAATACTCCAGGAATCCTCTGTGATGCAGCTGAGAGCTCCAAGGAGTTTCAGCTGCTGCGAAGGTGATTTATGCACACTGCTGCCCTGCATCTGGCCATGGCCAGACTCGGATACAGCAATGACAAGCACTCGTATCTGCTTTGAAACTTGCAGGAGCTCTGCAGGGCCGAGCATTGACACAGCTGGGCGCCCAGTACTCTTTGGGTTCCTCAGATCCTTCCATCTACACCCAAATACAAAGCTCACATGATTACTCCAATCATTCTGCAATCTCCACGCAGAGATGAGTCCCACCCCACAGCAGTGGGTGGGTTGTACAATGAATTGTACAGTGAGAGTCACTTGGGCAGAGGAAATCCCCCCAGAAACCCTCAACCCACTCTCCATTCATCAGCACATCCTACATCCTGCAAAGCTTTTTATACAAATGGTCTTTTTTGCTTCCCTCCCCTCAAAACTGAGATCTTGGGTTGTAGATCAGCAACTGGAATTAGCAATTAGCAGAACCAGTTCTGACCTAAGCAAAGCATTGCGAGATCAAGCGTTCACGTCTCTGCCCGTGCCACCTCTCTGGGAGCTTTGGGGACCTGATGTTATCACAGTAATGCCACTGGAGCTGTGCCTGATGATCGGGGGTCAAATACGAGGAGGCAACATCTTACCTAAGTAAAAGGAGAGGTGCCACAGCATCGCTGTGCATCAGGCTGCAAGCACCCTCCTAAGAGGGAAAAGGGAAGGTCTGCAACACGCTGGGGGTCAGATTCCTGAGCTAAGGCCCACCCACATGGATGCCTTAACCTGGACACACACACAGAGGAGGTGATTCCAGATCCCCAGTCATGCAGAGCCAAACCGGTGCCACTGGAGCAGCAGTGTGATTAATTCCCAGCCTGGGTAATCCACCCTGGATAACTCCGGGCTGATGACACCTGTACAGCCAGATTGGGCTGTCCCACGTCAGGAAGCCGTGAATGACACACTGCTGGAGGTGGTTTGTGTGCTGACCAGCTGACAGCCCCAGACAGTTTATCTGCTTCCCCAGAAAGGCCAGTCTGTGCAGGGCCTGTGACAGATGGCACCTCCATGGAGGAGGGCCTGCAGCTCGAGTCACTCACCGTGCCTTGTAAATACGGATGCAGTAGCTTGAGTCCTTCATGCTTGAGACCTCAGCACAAGGAACCACGGCTTGTTCTGGGCCAAAAAGACCAGTGAGAGAGATGCTACCAGGACTAGTCTTTAGCTGGGCAGAATGAAATGCATCAAAGTCTATGCTGGTCCCTATAAAGTAAGATATTACTGCTTTAAGAGCAGTCTGCATGACACAGAGCACAGGAAGGTGGCAAACAGGGAGGCTGTGGATCTGTGGACGCTTCCCTCCACTGCGACGCCACTTCCTACCTGCTACTCCTGTCCAAGAACTCCTGCCCAGGACCTGCTCTACACACCGCACCTCCAAGTGGGAGAGGTCTTTATGGCTGGATGCACCTGCAAAGATGAGGGCAGACACTCCTCTTGTTCTTGTTTCTTGCCTGGGTGTGCGTCTGCGTGTGCACTCTCAGGCAGGTCTATGGGAGCGTTTGTCACAATCTCCGGAGTCAAAACCCAATCATGATGTAATTCCAGTAAACAATTATCCAACTGCTTCATCGGCTGAGGCTCCACAGCCTGAAACTCATCCCAGGCCCAATCCTTACCCCAAGGCACATAAGTGGGGTAGGGAACAGGGATGGCCCAAGTTTCCTGCAGCCAAGTATCCCTGAAGGAATCATGGTGCCCACACCACACTGAGGGATCCACGCTGGGGACACCATCCCTTGTTCCAGCCACCTCCATGTCCCTTGCCCTTGTTGATGCTGATATGGAAAAGCAGAATGGTGCACGCACCATCTGTGGGCATGGTGACACCAGGCACAGCACGGCTGGACCATGGCACCCTGCTCAGGAGCAGAGTTTGGACTTGGGGGGATGCTCACCCTCAGCAGGGTATCAGTGGGAAATTGGGGGTGCTGGCCCTGGCACTGGATGCTGTCTGATGCTTTCCTCCCCAGCCTGCCCGAGGTGTCTGCACCTCAGATCCCAGGGGGAGCACCCAAACCCAGCGCTCTGATTGTGGGGATTTGCCAACATCATAGAACCACCTGTGTTGGAAGAAACCTTTAAGATCATCAAGTCCAACCGTTCCCCAGCACTGCCAAGGCCACCACTAACCCATGGCATTGAGCGCCTTGATTACACAGTGTGTGAACACTTGCAGGGACAGTGACTCCAGCCCTGCCCTGGGCAGCCTGTTCCAATGCCTGAGCACCCTCGGGGAAGGAATTGTTCATAATCTCCAGTCTAAATCTCCCCTGGAGTAGCTTGAGGCCGTTTCCTCTTGTCCTGTCATTTGCTCCTTGGGAGCAGAGACCACCTCCTGGCTCCATCCCTTCAGGCAGTTGTAAAGAGCAGTGAGGACCCCCTGAGCCCTCTCCAGACTGAACACCCTCAGACTCGTGCTCTGGTGCCCTTCGTGCTGGAGACAGCCGGTCCCCCTCGAGATGGGCTCCGCTGGGAGAACAGAGCGCGGCTCCCAGAGCCCGGCAGCGGCCGCCGAGCCGCGGCGGAGCCAACGAACCGCCCCGTCGGGGCTGGGCAGCCCCGCTCCGAGCTCCAATGGCTGGCGGGGGGCCGGGCCCGCCCCTGCCGCGGCTCTATAAGAGCCGGCTCCGGGACGCCGCGCATAGAACGAGCGGAGCCGAGTTCCAGCCGGAGGTTCGCTGCTGCCGCTGGAGTTGCTGCCCGCCGGAGCCCCGGATCGGTGCGTACCCGAGCGGGCAGAGCCCGGCTCCTCGGGGCGGTGCGGGGCCGCGCTTTGTCCGCGGGCAGACGGAAGACAGAAGCGGCTCCCGGGGAAGGGTGCGGAGCGGCGCCTTCCCCCCCGGGGCGGCGGTGGGGATCCTCGTTCGGAGCCGGCTCGGACGGGAGCGGGACGCGGTGGTGTCCGCCGGAGCCTTGCCCTGAGCCTTGTGTCGCCTTGCAGGGGCCTGGAGCCATGGCCGAGCACATGATGATGTCCATGAGCCACGGTGGCAGCGGGCTGCAGGGTTACCGCATGGGGGTGAGCGGGCTGCAGGGACCCCCGCAGCATGGGCAGCACGTGCTGAGGACACTGCCTGCCGCCGGTCAGATGATGCCCTATGGAGGGGCCACCATGGATGGTGCGATGAGGCCAAGACCCAACCTCAACGGACAGATGAGCCACCACCAGATGCAGAGTGCGATGATGTTCAACAGCCCCAGCCAGCAGCAGCAGCAATACATGGGGCCGGTGGGCACCCAGCAGCTGATGGCCAGCATGCACCTACAAAAACTCAACACCCAGTACCAGGGTCATCCCCTGGGTATGAGCAATGGGCCCATGGGAGCTGGTGCCCAGCAGTACAGAGTGGGGCCAAGCCAGCACCCAGGCATGCAGCACATGCCCTCACCAGCGCTGACCTTGAACGTTATGGACACTGATCTCATAGATGAGGAGGTCTTGACATCCCTTGTCCTGGAACTGGGGTTGGACCGGATTCAGGAGCTGCCAGAGCTATTCTTGGGACAGAACGAGTTTGACTTCATTTCAGACTTTGTTAGCAAACAGCAACCCAGTGCCATCAGCTGTTGAGGAGCTTTGAGCTCCTCCTTGTGTCTTGGTGGTTTTGAGTTTGTTTCTAACTTCCTTCTCCACCTGCCATCCTCCTCCTTTCCCCTGCCTTGCCCTGCCCTGGATTCCTGACCTCCCCAAAGAGACAATCATCGGACACTGGCTTGCAATGGATTGCTTTTTGTTTTTTTTTCCTTCTGTGTGGTTTTTTCCTGTGTGGGAGTTCCTGGGGAGGGAGAGTGCATCCCAAACAGAGCAGATCAAGAGCTCTTGCTGTAGAGCTGCCTCCAAATGGCATTAACGGGATTTCTGGCTTAAGTAGAAATAATGGACTTACGACTTTCCGCACCTCTGCTTTGGGTGCAGGCAGCGATGGGCAGCCCCACTGGGAGCTGGATTTGCTCAAGGATTCTGTGGTGCCAGTGAAGTTAAAGGATCCCCTGAGAGAGGATTGTCTCCGTGGTGCATGGTTTGAACCAGTTTCCCCTTGCAGACAGGGGTGGGGTTAGATATTTGTTGGGACTTTCTACTGTGACAGTAAATAGGTCTTCAGTCCCGTGTGTCCAGCTCGGAAAGGGGGCACTTCCCCTGCAGCAGGCTTTTCTCTAACTGGCTGAGCAGAATAAAGGATGCCTTGGGGAAGGGTGTGCATACGTGCCTAAATGTTCATCTCTGGAACTTCAGCTCTCTGACCTGTACAGCCAATCAGCTGTAAAATATACCAAGTGTTTGAGGTTGATTCAGGCATAAAGGCTTAAAGCTGCAGTCTGGCTCCACTTTTTTCCACCTCTGAAACCAAATAAAGACCACGAAGCTGTATATTCCAGTTCTAATCTTATTTATTTTTTTTTCCCTATGATTATTTATTTGCGAAGGGCTGCTTTTTGTTATTTGGCTTTGGGACTGCTAGGAAGGATGCATGGAGAGTACTGCAGCTTTAAGATGCTGGCTTCCAAAAGCAAGCAAGCAAAGCCTGGGCTAGTTTTCAAGCTGCTCTGCAAAAAGTCACTTCCCCCCCCCGAGAGCTTTGTGCTGGACGCACAGGACTGAGAACCCAACACCTTTCCGAACGTGATAAAGATGACTCGGTTTCTCCTTCCCGCACTCAGGAGAGGGTCAACGGAAAGAAGCCGGTGGGGTTTTGTTTCCACCGCGGTCTCTCGTTTCCAGGCTCCTGTTAACTCCGGGTTGCTGCTGCCCCCTGCCGCTGTCAGCTCCTCTGGCAGCCCCCCCCCCTCCCTCAACCCAGCGCTATTGTACAGCCCGGTTTGCAAATAAAAGCTGACCCATCCGCGCTGTGCGTTCGTGTGCTGCTGTCGCTGGGGCTGAGCCAGCACCCGAGCTGCCAGGGTTCTATTTCCAGCCCTCACAGTGTGGCGGCAGGATGAGCTGCTGCTCCTCGGCACTCGGGGTGAGATCCTAGCGGGAAGATGCTGCTCTGGTGCAGCCCTGCTGCTGCCTGACCCGAGGTGCTCGAATGAGGGGTGGTCCTTATGCTCCTTCCAGACCAAGCGCAGCTCTGCCACGAGCTCTCTGATGCAGTTTCTATAGCACAAGGGCTCTAAAACCAGGACATTCTTCGCTCTACTCTTCCAGAGCTTAGCTTGTTCCTTTTAAAGGTTCCCAGCCAGTCCTTCTGCAGACTTCACATGTCCTTCTTCTGCCTTGCAGCAATGGGGCTGTGGATGCTGGTATTGGAGTGGCTGCATCGCTTAGACCCCACTTTGGGTTGCCTGTCTGCGTCCCTGGCCTTGTTCTTTGCCCTACTCTAGAGCATTTGTTAAAGTCCTGTTCTTTTGGTGGTGATGCCTGTGCAATCTGGTCAAAAAGTCAATGGCAGGGCTTGTGTTGCAGGTGGGCGAGCCTTGCTTGGGATGTGAGCCCTATGGTGATGGGCTGGTTGAGGCCTAGAAGAGCTTTCCTGTCTCTGTGCACCTGCAGAATAGCAGAGGGCTTGGTCAGCAGATTGTGGGTAAGGAGCAAGGAGCCTGCAACTGCATTTGTTCTGTATAGTAAAAGTAGCTGAACCCCAGAACAAAGCAGCATGTCCCAGTGCTCCAGTGCGCTGGAAATGGGCTGCTGATTGAAGCTGCAGCAAGGGAGCTGGTGTGGCTCCAGAGGTGTGAAGTGACTGAGGGGTGTTACCTCTTCATTTCCTCAAAATTGACACTGTTAATCATGGTCAGCCTCTATGATTTCCTAGGCCAAAACCACTTCTGATTTCTGCTGCAGGCCCGTTGAGCTCTGCTTTTCCCATCTAGTTCACTCTGACCTCTCCATCCAGCAACAGGCAGGAGGGCAGCAGTGTGATGCCCCAAAGCACTGGTATCTTGACAGGCACTGCAGAGCAGTTTGAGAGCTTTGAGGACACAAGTGAACTCCTTACTTATGTCCACTTGTGTCTCCTCGCTGGAGAGTTTGCCTTTACAGAGAGCTGCTGGGAAACACCTCTCCTCTGAGATACCCTTCTTGGGATAGAAGCAAGGTTCTCCAGCCCTGCTGCCTGGGGATAGCTGGGCAGAACCACCTTGTTCCCTCACCTAGGCTGGATCCTCTGCTATAGTCCAAGTGGATTTTGTAGCTATTCTTGTGCAAATCACATCTTGGGGCAGCCTCTGGGAGGATGCAAGTGTGAAAGTACAGCAAGACAATACATTGCTCTCCATCCCTGTATTTGACCACGTGTGCTCTCAAGTGAAGTTTGCTGATAGCACTCAGTGATTCAGAGCAGCAAAGATGAAAGCCCAGTGCAGGGAGCTGGTGAAGGATCTGCTAACATAGGGGCAGTATGAAGAGTCTGTAAACACATAAAGATTTGTGTCTGTCTTAGGAGGCTTCAATAGCAGCAGAGTTAAGGGGTGGAAGGCTGGCCAGGTATGCACTATCACACGTTTGCCTTGTGTTTGTGTTCTGGTAAAGGCATCTACTAAGGACAGCGCTGGGGGCAGGATGTGATAGTGTCTGTCAGGTCTTTTGGTTTGACCCAGGACACCTCTTATGCCACAGGATGTGGTAGGTGCTGAGACACATGGCCTCAAAGATCAGATAGACAAAAGACATGGGGAAAAAATCCACCCTAATGAAAAGATCCTGTTTCTGAGTCAGGAAGTCTTTGATCCAGGAAGGCTTTGAGCCACAGATCAGCGATGGAGAGCGACTGAACCTGGGAAGGACCATGGCACATGTGCCACCATCCTCTGCCCTAGGCGTGGCTGTCAGCCACAGGTAGAAGCAGTGCTCTGCATGCCAGGAACCTGTGGTGTGACCAGCAGAGGGGTGACCCATGAGCGTGTGCCCCCACTCTCGCTGCCCATTGCAGCCAAAGGGTTTAACCTCAAGTGAGAACTGCCAGGGAAGGACAAGGCAAAAGCCCATCTAGCCCTACCTGCCCTCTGGGACTAGGTTGTCAGGGAGGATTGATGGTCCTCAGGATGCTCCTTCACAGCTTTCAGAAAGGAGTGGTCCAAGGAGTTGTGAGCCACAGGTTATGTCTTTACCATGTTAAATACCCTGCTGTGGACCTACCCACCCTATACTTGCAATCACTTGTTAATTCACAGGTACGTTTTACTTCAGCAACACCTTCTGCCACTGAAATCCACAAGGCAGTTGTGAAGATGTAACCAAGCTCTTCATAAGAAGCTTAAGCTCTGTAAGCTCCTCTTCATTTTAAACCTGCCACCCACTCACTGTGTTGGGTGTCCCAGTTCCCAACCATTTCTTGGTCACCTTCTCCATTTTATAGCCCCAGTGATGTTCCCTCCTGAGTCTCTCCCCATTCAAGGATCACTTTGTGTTGTAGATTGTTTTGAGCACTTGTTTCTGCCCTCTCTCTAGTTTTATGGGATGGAGGAGGGAACAGCACTGGTTTAAGCCATAGATGTGTCATGGGTTTCTCCAATGCTATAATTAGATCTGGTTGTTCCGTATTTCCATCATTCATCACAGAATCACAGAAAGATTTAGGCTGGAAGGGACCTCTGGAGGTCACTCAGTCTGCTCCAGGCAGGGCTGCACTGAAAGGCAGGGCAGCTGCTCAGGGTCTAGGCCAGGCAAACGTGGAAATCATATTTCTTAAGGATTTCTTAAGGATCTTAAGGTCTTTTCCAGCCCTAACTATTCTATGATTCTATAAATCTTCAGAGACTGGAATTTCTCTGGACACTTAAAAGCTGAGGGTCTCTTCTGGGGCATCATTTATGGCACATTACAACACTCCTGGTTTTCAGATGCTGGTTACACTCTGCCGTTAGGTTGCTTCATAATTGCTCCACCAAGGTATGGACCAAGTCCTGCTTTTCCTGTTTCAACTGCAAATACAAATGACAGTTGATTGCAGGGCACTGTAGTGAGTTGAGAAAAGCTTTGACAAGGCAGCCAGCTCCTGCTGCTGGTTGTGTGTGAAGCTCAGCAGCACTCTCAGTGTGCAGGGGGCTGTGCTGCATCCTGCAGCCTCCGGATGGGAGATTGTTTCCTTCCCAGATCTGCCAGAAATGCCACTGAGTTCACGTTTTCAGGGAATTCTGCAAGCTCAGCCTGCTACAAGAGTGCGTGACCTGCTCGTGACCACTGGAATGCCACAGGGGTGAAGGGACCTCAGTTTTCTGATCTTCTCCCATTCTTGGCTCTGACCCACATGTCCATCCTCACTAGTTCAGCTGTGTTTGGTGTGTGGAGCCACACTGACATCTGCCTCTCTGTTTATGGATGGAGAGTTGCATAGTCTGCCCCATCCTCTCCCAGCTTGTGGTGCTGCTGGATGGTAGCATTATCTTTGATTTACTGACACTTCAAGGATGCTGGAGAGGGGCTCTTCATCAGGGATTGCAGCGATAGGACAAGGGGTGATGGGTTCAAACTGAAACAGGGGAAGTTCAGATTGGATATAAGGGAAACCCTCTGCACATCTCTACCTTTCTCCAACACCACCAAGGCATCAGAAGGGGACAGGGAGGTTTTCTTTCACTCTTTCAGTTTAGGTCAAACCCCTGTGTATGGCTTTGTATTGCACATGGACTTCTGTGCCGGGCTACTAAGAGCCACAACTAAAAGCCACCCCATCACTGGGAAAATCTGGGTGAGGCTGTGGTGCTGCATTGTGAGCAGTGCCAAAAGCAAACCTTGTTTGCAAAGGGACACAGTGCTGTGTTTTTAATAATTAAACCTAGTCCTAGCTTCCCTGGAGTTCCGGTGGGGTTCCAAAGAGGATCCCATTGTCCCTGAAGGAAGAGGAGCTCAGCAGTGCCCACAGAGCCACAGGCCTGCTGGGGCAAGGCAAGGCAGAGATGCCAGCATCCCTCAGCAATTAAACTGGGTAAAATCCTAAGAAAGGCATCTCGTGGAGATGAGTTTTGAAGGTGCCTATTTCTCTCCTTTGCCATGGAAAGAGAGCTAGCTCAGGCTCGGAGACTGCATTTTAGATATCTTGGAGCAGACAAATCATAGAATCAGATCCTAGAATGGTTTGGGTCGGAAGGGACCTTAAGATGACCTAGTTCCAGATCCCACCTCCAGTGTGTGCATAGAGGGATTGCTGAACTGTTGAGCAGTTTGGAAAGATGCGACTAAACCTGCTGATTTCTGCCTGCACATCACAAGCATCATCCCCTCCGGACAAGCACAGCTGCTTCATGCATTAAAACCACGACTGCCACAAGGGACTGATTTCTCCTGCAAAGCCTTTGCAAGGATGCAGGGCTCTGAACAGCACTGACTGCACAGCCAAAGAGGTCCAAGCTGAATTAGACCCTCAGTGGCGTTTGGTAACTCCAAAGGGTCACGGAAAGGTGCCCCCAGGAGATGGTCAGCACGATCTGCTC